AACTTTTATGAGAGTTTAAACTTAATGAATCTATTCCAACTTATTTTGCATAGGAATATAGTAATTTAATTAGGATAGATAATTTTATTTAACTATCGGAAGAGGTTTGATAAATAACTATGAGTTCTCAGTTAACAACTTATTTTGATCAATTGACTTGAAAGAAAGTAGAAAGACTTATACGAAGCATTAGAGGAAGTAGTAATCTTAACTTCTTTCCTCTGGTAAATTCAACCCTTGATTGTTAAGTTTAGATTTAGTTTTAATTTAGTCATTCCATAGTTCAATTCCAATTGTTTAAAAAAAATTGAATTGATACAAAGTTAGTACTTGGATATTATTAGCAATAATTCTCCGTGGGAACGATACTCTACTTATCACTTTATTACTTGTTGATCGTGTATACTTACACGTAAAATTATTAATACCAAATTCAGACAACATGTTTTTGGCGCCGTTGTCAGGAAATTATTCTAGTAATTATTTCAATATTAATTTCAATCAAATTGATCTTAGTTTAAACTTATTTACTTTACTGTTTAAGTGTTTTCGTAAGCACTCTTAAATTTTGTATGCAAACACGATCCACAGATCAGGAGCTACTACCATTTGAAGACAAAATTGAAAGTAGGCTCTGAAACTTGCAAAAACAGTGTCAAGAAGTAAACAACCAAGAAGCTATGACTGAATAAGAACAGAAATCGTTAAGGGATTATGCTATGCCGCTTGTTACGAAAATACAATCGAGTATTCAAAGGCCCGCAATTGAAGCAAATAGTTTTGAAATCAAATCGAGAACCATTCAAATGATTCAAAATTCAGTGTAGTTTGGGGGTTTGCCTAACGATGACCCAAATGATCGTTTAGTGAGTTTTCTGGAAATTTCTGACACATTCAAATACAATGGGGTTTCCGAAGTTGCAATTAGACTCCGAATTTTTCCTTTCACGCTTCGTGATAAGGCGAAGAGTTGGTTGCATTCATTATCGTCGGAGTTCTATTACTACGTGGACATATTTAGCTCAAAAATTTTTAGCTAAATTTTTTCCACTAGCTAAAACTGCAAGGATGAGGAACGACATCACATCATTCACACAACATGATTCTGAGACTCTTTATGAAGCTCAGGAGTGATTCACCATGGTATTCCTAAATGGTTGCAAGTTCAGACATTCTACAATGGGTTGTTTAGTGCTACCCGGACTATTATCGATCTAGCTGCAGGTGGGGCATTAATGGGAAAATTTTTTGATGAAGCTTACGAGTTGTTGGAGACGATGGTTGCTAACAATTATCAGTGACCCTCTGCGAGGATCAATTAGCCAAAGGTAACAACAAGCACACTTTGGGCAAGAGAAAGACCAACACCATCATTAACTATGGTTGTGTTAGCTTTGAAAACAATGGCAACACAATCAACAATGACGCCAACAGTCAACATCACAGCGACACTGGCGGTGCTCATCTTCAGATTTCCACCAATGGGTCGTCTTCTTCATCTTGATCTGATGAGAAAAAGTCCTAGAGAGAGAGAGAGGGCTGTTTGTTCTTTGGTGATTAACGAACACTAGTCACTGCTAAGGGTGGCGAAAAATTGAAAAAAAAAAAAAAAAAGAGATGAGAAATAAAAAATCAAACAACTTTCAGAGGTTCAATTTATTTTGACTCAATTTATGTCTTCATAATTCTGTTCTCTTTTAGAAGTACAGTTTACCATTTTCAGTGGAATGAATGAGATATCATTTCCACCCAAATTTTCTTCAGTTTCTGACTTTGGCTTCTTTTTTTCCCCTCTCTCTCTTCTCTAATTTCTCTGTGTTTTTCGGGTGGCTTGGATACGGTTTTGGAGATTTCTGTGGAAAGTGGAAACTGTTGATTTGGTTCTCACATCAGAACCGGATCGATCGTCGCCGAGTCAATGATTTATTAGTTCAACCGTTAAGTTAACTGATCAAATCAGTCATATAATAAAAATATATATATAATAATTATAAAACTTAATAATTTAGCTAAAAATTATAAAATATGTATAAAATACATAAAATTTGCCATAAAATTAAGTAACAAAGTTAGGGTTATTGTATTTTAAAGCAAAGTCAAAAAGTTCAAGTAAATTATAAAGAAAAAGAAAGGGTGTCATCTATAATTTATCCAAGAATAAGGTTAAAAAAAAATCAACTGTTTACTGATTTAGGGGCAAAAAAATTTATTTATGTAATTTAATTTTTAAATAGGCATTAAACCGTCCGATTTTTCGATTTTTAGCCGGTTCACTTCCTTAGGCGGTTCATTAAAGAACCGGACCGATTAGGGTCTCGGTTTACGGTTGAACCGGTCCAACCAACCAGCTCGATCCAGTTCTGATAACACTGGCTGGGGTGTTTAAATTTTTGATTGGTCGTAATTTTTTATCCAATCTGATCTTATTCTAACCTATTGAAGGGTTAGTCGTAAAAATTGAGTAGGAATACAGAAAAATTTTTAATTTTTTAATTAAATCGGGTAGAAATACAAAATATTTATCAATTTCTGCATTTCAATTCTACCTTATCCACAAAAAATATACTTAATTTTTTTATATTTTTTTAGTAATTATAAAAGTATTTGTGTGGTATAATTTATATTATAACATTATTATTATTGTGAATGTTTGAGTTGCGAAAACATAGACTTATTTTTTGTGTAGGTTACATAATTTATGGTGAACTGATGATATATTAGAGCAGTTATGATTTTAATGTGTTTCATATTGTTTAAACTTAAAATAATTGTTAT